TAAGTAATTTGAGTAAAAAATTAAAGATAAATAATTTAATTTATTTGATACTAAAAAATTTTAATATTTGTTTAGAACTAAAGTAAAATACTTTTTAAGTAAATGTTGTTATTTTAATTAGAATACTCGAAGTTATTAACACTGTAGTATAAAATATTATTAACTTCATTAATCCAATTAAATATAACTATAAAATATAAAACGAATAATAAGAATTAAAATAAATATTTGAAATGTAATTTATATTTTTATTTTAATCATTATAATATATACATATAGTTTTATTCAATGGTATTACGTCTACTACAAAGTTATTTTTAAATATATTGTTAAAAATGTTAATAATGATAAAATTCACTAAGGAACTTCAATATATCATTAAAACGGCGTATGTATATTCGCTAAAAGGACATGCATTAATTAAATATTTAAAATATTTAATGTTTTCAAGATGATCGCTCTGTATCTTGTTATATTTTTTTATCAACTAAATATGTACACATCATCTATGAAAATTCAAAACGTTTTGTAGGATTTCACTTAACCTAGTTTTAGAAAAAAATTTCACATATTAACCTGGTTCAAAAATGCAAAACAATAATAGACCATTCAAAATTATTATAATATAATAAATATTATTCTATTTTATTAATTTATGTATATGTGCAAGTCTATAGATTATTTAAATTTTTAACTTATCTTGTTACAAACACATATAATGGACTACAATGTATGCATTTTAATCAGTTCAAATATCTGTACAACATATAGTACATTTGTATCTATTTACTAATACAATAACCTGCAATACGTTGTATATGCTGTGGACGAGTGAATGAAAAAAAAATTAAAAAAATAAACTATAGTTTTATTTTAATTTAAGTCGTTTATGATGATTTACTATCTAATAAATTAATATTAAACAAAAAATGTATAACACTAGTACAGAAATAGAAAAGTAATATTCATAACACACAATCATAATTAAAAGAAAGAAACAGCAAGACGACTGCGAACTGACGCGACTACGAACCACTGATTTGACAATATTCTTATATGCCTAAATGTCATACCCATACACTGAAAATAATAAAATATGACCCTTAGCTTCCGATAGTTTGAGTTTGCAGAGAGTTTGAGAGCAAAGTTTGACCAGTACTTTCGACACTTCGATAACATATTAATATATTGATAGTTATTACATTATTTGTACAACGAATAGTGATTATTCAAAAAAATAATCAATTAAGGAAATATGCGACTATAAATCATTTCACGTATGTATATACGTACATAAACGTTTGAACGAAAATTACTACTGATAGAATAAAGTAATAACTAATTAAAAATAGACAAATTGATAAAATAATTCTATTCCATATGTATTACATTGAAACTAAAAATCCTTAACCGATGTGAAACAATATACTCGTATGTAAACAACACATTGCACAATGTAACAGGACATTTATGAAATAATTTTTTATTAATTTTCAATATCGTGTCAATATAATTTTAGATTTAACAAGTGAAATTATATTCGGTTAAGTGTTAAAAATGTTAACATTATACTATTAAATGTTAATTAAAAATGTATGGACGTGTAAAAAAAAACCATTTTCAACACACAAAATCATTGGTGTTCGCGTCGTTGACGTTAAATATTGAGACGTTTGTGATTAAAGAGGACGGTCAATAAAATGATGTAGGTGCGATCGAAACGAATGAATAAAAAACCACGCAAAAACCGGTACCTATACGGTTTGTTCGGCTTATTTCGTTTTCACTCAACAAAAGTCCATGAAAAGTTAAAATACGAATATTATTAACGTGTGGCGAAAGAAATATGCATATGAATCGATATAGCGTAACGCAGTAGTCGGTTGATGGAATGGAAATATATAAACTGTCGACAACGTGTCATTAATTTGTAAGATATTCAACGGCGTCTTTGAGAACGACTAGAAATCGAAATTATCGCGTGTTGAAATACACCCCTTTCGCCTCCAGGGGGTGATTTGAATTAATTTTCAACGTTAGTTATATCACAAATTATTATTGGATCGCTGCGCGGATAAACCGATGACGATTCTCTGGGGGGGGGGTGGAAAAAACGATTTTAAAAAAGTTTCACTCGTATAATAATTTACAATATTAATAACGGTTGGCAGACGTTCACCGCGTGTAATTCGATATTTTTTGTAACATCGAAGTATTCGAATTTATTAACACGCCGAGTCGCGAACGTTTTTTCCAGATTAAACGTACAAAATTAATAAACGCGTCACCGACGCGACGGTCTTAATACGTTTAACGTATAACTTATATTACGCGCGTAATACAGCGCAACTAAGCGCGGTCTACCGGCCGGAGGGGAATAGTCAGGATCGGGTGGTTATACTGCGAAGATGTAAATTGTAAGGAAAAAAAAATGTTTAATAAGACCGGCGGCGACTACCCCTTCCCGCGCTGGCACCGGGAACAGCGAGAATTAAATGTACGGGCAGACGTGTTGTACGAGACAGTGACGTATATAGGGGGTGAGGGGTGCCTAGTAGGCTACAGTCCCTCCCCGATATGTTTTAAAAAACTTTAAAATTATTTTAAAGGTATGTTATATTTTAATGGTGCTTTATGATTATTCAGAATTTGCGTCCAACGTCAAATCGTTTTGAGACATTTTGTAAATGATATGTTAATAAGTACCACTGTGTCTTGTTGGTAATTCTTAAATAGCAGTGGTAATTTAACTCTGTCCATAGTAGCTCCACCAGAAAATATTTTCTACATACGCCACTGGTACGAGACCTATGACCCACCGTCACCGCGGTCGCACGGAGAAACGTCGTACGTGGTGGCGGCCACGAACGGGAACGGTGTCTACGTGTGCTGCAGCAGTACACGCATGGAGTCTGGTGCCGCCGCCGTCGCGTAGATTATACGACGTGAGACGCGAGCCGGTTTGCGTTCGTTCGGCGTCACGTCGTCGCCGGCAACGAAATCCACCACCCACGGGCCTCCGACCGTGCCTCACTCGTGCACTAAGGTTACCCAGCCGTTCTAATAATAACAATAACAATCACCAAAACAACCGAACGAAAAACCTTTAAATCCGTGACAGCAACATCTCAGAGCCACCACCGGTGGCAAGGAGGTAACCCCGTTTACGGTAATTAAATCCTGTCTCGGCTTGTGTTGTAGAAAGAAAAAAATTCGTTCCTATTATTTTGTAATACTTTTACTTGAAGACATTTAATTATAAATATTTAAGTTGATAGCGCCCATTGTATTATTATTTATAAATGATTAATGGTTGTTACTGTTTAAATACAAAATTACAATTAGATTGGAAAATTAAATATTACACTCATTTTTATTGATTTCGAGTTTTTAAATCGGAACAAAAACCGGGACGACTGCGAAACTGTTAAAGTCGTGTGTTTACCACCGTTCAAGTTGGAACTTGGCATACGCGTACTCGGTACGCTAATATCGGTATATACCGACAAAAATGTTTACGCGATATCACAACACGATCCCTTGTTATTCGAACGGTTTGTATCGTTTAAATATTAGTTACATAGCTTTGGTAATTAATAAAAATTTACAACTTTGTTTACCAACTAGAATCATGGACGTGGTCGTTTTAATTTGTAATACATTAATTTGTAATTTGGAAGGATTTGGTTTCGTCGCTAAGGCGTTGAGGCCACAAACCAGGGTCGGCAAAATTATTACTTTCGATTTCGCGCGAAAAACAGTCACTCTCCTTTTCATGTTCGTCAATTCCTAAAGCAGAAATGTTATTATACCGTTCAGAAACGAAAGAAAATAACACGAACAATCCGACCGACGAAACAGTAGTCGTCGCATTGTTTTACATTTCGTCGGTATACAAACTGTAAATATTTGTATGAGATTTAATTCTCGACCGGCGAAATGAATTACAACTCTTATCGCATCATGCGTGCGAGCAGTTCATGTTGTTGTATTGTCACGTTAAACTGCGTTAAACGGAAATCAGATTCCACGTACAAACAAAACCCGATGCACTTGAATACCAGAGCAATTTTTTTTTTTTTCCATTTCAAACTTATGGAAAACGTTATTTGCCCGAAACCAACGTACTCACTAACCCGCCCAACCTCTCTTGGTGCGAGCCCCGCGCGCACACACACACCGAACCGGACGAGCAACAATTGGAAATACGACGGTGCGTAAACCTCGGCGCACAAACGCACGACAACCCGTGGACCGTCCGCGGGGAGAACGCGCGCGCGACGCCCGTGCCGACCGGCGACCGGGCGCGGACACGTACAGACACATTTGACAGTCGCTCTCGACGACGACGTGCGCGCGGGCGTCCGGTCGAACGCGTCTTATCTGTAACTTATGAGTAAGCCGTCTCGGCATGCGCACGCGCTCGCGCGCGGTACAGCGACGCGTGTACGACGCCGCCGCCGCAGATAACGCACCTTTCCCCGCGGTTCGCCGACGCCGCCGCCGGTAGTACGTAATATAATAGGAATAAGATCCGTTACGCGTTCATTCGACTGAGAAACGAGAAGTGCCGCGGGCAAGCGACGAACCAGCAACGACGACGACGACGACGACCGAATAATAAGAATCATTCGCCGCACGATATCGTAATACGTAATATTATCGCGATCGAATATCGCGTCAACAACAACAACAACAACGTTTGGACGAGACGAGAATAACGTACACGAACGCGCATCATCATCAACGTTCGTTATCGAATTCGTAAATATTTTTTCTCGATTTTAAATTTTTCGCCGTTCCCGCGCGCTTACACCTATATTGTGTCGCGCACTCGCACGATTCGGCCGCACCGGTCCGAGGTTTTTTATTCCACACGATTAATCGTGTATTTCACGTACGCACGCCGCTGCTGCTCGTACTACTACTACAGCCGTCGCCGCCGCCGCCGCCGCCGCCGCCACCGCTGCTGCTGCTGCTGCTGCTGCTG